TTTAAAAAGTTCTATCTTGTGACTAGTTTTAATTTTAAAGATATAAATATATAGACTAATATTAAGGGGTAGAAATAAAAGGAAGTTCATTTAAAGGGTATTTTAAAAAATCACCCTTTGTAAGCTGCTTTTATTCAATTCATACAAGCCAATGTTGAAGACTAATTTAGCTTGGGCCCAAAACAATCCCTCGGGAGAAAGAAGGAAATAGGCCAAGACTTGAGATGAATTAAAATTAATAGGTCAATAGTTTATATAAGTTAATAAATATGCCAAATTACTGTTTTTGTCTATAACTTGTCTGGTTATGAACCATAACTTGACAACTTATTATCTATAATTCACAGTTTTTGTCCATAACTTGTCTGGCTATGAACCATAACTTGACAAGTTTGTCCATAACTTGTCTGGCTATGAACCATAACTTGACAAGTTTGTCCATAACTTATCTGGTTATGAACCATAACTTGACAAGTTATGACCTATTAATTTCTATAATTAAAAATTAGCCTATATATTTTCTTAAGCTTTTCATTCATATTGGCATATTTTCTACTATTTCCGTATTATTTCTTGTGAGATTTTTCAAAGATGCGCTTTTGGAAATGTTTGGCAAGAAAGCCCTATCCTGCCCAATGAGCTTCACGCTTACAAAGTTTCTCGAAAGAACTTTCGTTTTCTTCTTTGTTGTTTCTTTTATGGTCTTACTATTTTCTTCTTAATGATCTTTTCTCCCCTATACAGCACTTATTCTTATTTGATAGTTTTGTTCTAAATCAAGTTTAACTATATAAAACAGTGTTTGTATTTAGTTCATCAATATTTGGATATATGTTCTAACATATACGAGAATCATGTTCTTAGCGTATAAAAATAACCATTATTTGTATCTATCTTTGCATCAATTACATTATATTTTCAATGTTATTTATTTTTCTTTGACATAATGTGAAAATTGATAAACTTTCATTGCAAAAGAGAAAAATGAACGATGGAAATTCTTAATTAGACAACCCTTTATCCGCCCAACATCTATCCGACCATGACAAAACGTAAACTTGTATTTTGTGTGTGTAAGCATTCAAATGATCCATAATGGACTGCTGAAAAGTGATTTTTCACAGAAAAGTAAGAAAAATACTCAAAATACTGAAAATTACGAGAAGGCAAAAAAATTGAAACCCCTCACTAAAAAAAAGGTGGGCAAAAAACGTTTGGTTCAATGAACTTGGAAACCAAAAGTTTGATTGAGAAATGACAAGCCAAGAGTAGTACTTGCTCATGTTATAGTCAGTCTAGTTCTCATTCCTTCCACATCGAGGACCAAAATGTGGAGGAATGCCAAGTAACCTGCTTTTTTAAAAAGAAGGTCAAAAAAGCTATTAAAAAAAAAATCTCAGACTTAGAGGGGAAAGCAACTTTTGTTGTTTCTTCGGAGAACATATGTACTAGGCGGCTAGCTAGGTATTAAAAATCTAATAATCAAAACTTTGCATGCTTTTGAAAATAACCACCGTCCCATTTTGAGCAACAATATTCAAACCATAATACGTGTCAAAATTTCTTGCTTAAGAGCCAACTATGCACGGTGGGCCTAGGGCTTCCAAAAGTTGCTTTCAAACCAATAACAAACTGCCCTAACAGACGGGATGGGGATGGATGGATGGATGGATACTCTTTTCTTTTTAATTATTTGGATAATCAAAGTCAACGAAAGCGTCCTCCTCTATTGATTTATGTTCATCAAATGGGTATCATTTGGGGTCATTGATGTTGGGTTATGATAATGACCTTTTCTTTTATATGGGGTTTGCTTAAAACTGTTCATGATCATATATAAGTTGATATATATATATATATATGTATGTATATATATATATATATATTATATGTATGTATGTATATAGGCATATACTCTCGGTCTAGGACTACAACTAGTGAAGCTAGCAAAGTGGAAAGATATATGCATGTGCTATTTTGATATTATATACCTGGGGCAAAGGGAATTTCCAAAGGGGGCAAGAGGATTAGTAGTGCGCTTTATGAAAGTGATTGTGCGTGATTATGATTTGTATTATTTTTACTTTGAGCACCTCATATTATTGCAAGAGAGGTATACTCTTTGCTAAATTATTGAATTGCAGAAAAGGATATTTCAAATATTGAGTACCCCACAAATATGTCTATATACATAGCCGCACATATGCGTATTATAAAATAATATTACTTCATCAGTATTAAGTTGTGGAGCCTAAGTATATATTGCCCATATATGTGTGCATGTTGATTGAACTTCGCGGTAATATCGTTGTGAGGTTGAACAAGAAGTGAAAAGGCCTCCTTCTTGAGGGTACTTTGGGGTTTTCACATTTGTAAATTTAGTTGTCTCGATTTTTCTCTTTTTTTTTTTTTCCTTTTTGTATAGAGTGGACACCGCTAATTGTAGGGGTAAAGAGAATGATTAGAGAAAAGAGAGTGAGTTTAAGAGACAATGGATGAAAATGGATGGAATTTTATTTAGTATGAACAACTATAATTCTTGTGTATATTATTGTTTATTTGTTTTTTTTTTCATTTTATTTTTCTTTTTGAAATTTTATTGCTTTCGCGTGTTCCAAACTAAGTAGTAGCTAATTCTTAACATAGGTTACATGAGAGGAGAGTAGTATTGTCAAATTTTCTTTGAGCTCCATAATTAGATGCACACACACATAGTTTTTCATACGTATCATACAACCATCTATCATTTAAAACAAATATATATTAATCATGCTGATAAAAATATCTTTCATTTGTATTGTCAATAAAACTTGAAATTTATATGTGTTTTTTTTTTTTTTTTGCTAATATGTAAGTTTGAGCTAGCAACAACTCTGTGTGTATGATACGGTTCATTTCATGTACAGTATCCTGTGTATTAATGCAAACCTTCCACACATACCGTACACAACAGTGATGACGGCTTAAAATGAATCCGTATACTATTCCACCCACCCTACTCTTTCTGAAGGATCCCCCAAATGTTGCTTGATTCGAGACAATTATATGTGTGAGCTAGCTGTGGGAATCATCACATCCACCAATCAATTCCTATGGAATTCCTTTCACCAAATGATATATGATGGAGAATTTAGGGCTTCTCTGAAGTGATAATGAGATTAGTTTGTTGGCCTTAGGAATTATAAAGGCACAAGGGATCTGTTTGGTAATATTTTTTAAATGGTTTTGTGTTGAGTATGAGATGGAAATGACAATTTTTTAAAAATGTTATATAATTAATGTATATAAGAAGGCTCCTTACTTTCTAGAAAGGATTGTTTTTTCTGCTTATCTATCTGTTATTAGAATTGTTTCTAAAATTACATTGGTTTATTTTCTTGAGAGATTGTTTTAGGTATAAAGAAAAAGATAAAATTGTATTTAGGTATATTTCTAAAAATGAAATGGAAATGTAAAAACAATTTGCAATTTATCTGCGACATTTTTTATTTATTTATTGTCTTATTAAGCCATGTTGCACAAGTGATGCAATTTATCCACACAAGAAGGATATATGTTTGGAGCCTTTTTACTCCAAATCTAAAGAAAAAGTCCGCCCCTATCCTCATTAGACGCGCATATGCGAGTCACATAGAGAAAACCGTACACAAGCTAAAAGTAAATTTCAATTTGACCAGATGTGTGCAACAAATTTTGAAATTAAAGGGGGTCGATTGCGAAGCTTTTTACTTCAGGGGTTAAGTTGCCAATCGTTAGAATTTGAGAGGCATTCCATGCGGAAAAAAGTTTTAATTATTAGTAGCTTTAATATGATTATTTGCAAACACTTACCTCACATGAAAACAAAATAAAAATAAAAAATAGTAGTTAGATAACATTGAACCTATTCTAAAGTAATTTGATAGATGAGTGGTTTTAAATCTTATAAAGAGAGTTTAAATGGAATATTTTTAGGCTATCGGTTCATGTATATTAATCCATTATAGGATTGAAATGATAAGTTTTTGTCGGAATTAGTTATGGCTCAATGTCGACATTACACAAGCATCCACAATACTCACATTTACTTGAACAACCTGTCGAAGCTATGCATAGATTGAAGCATTCATTGGAATCCTTATCCTCATCACCAACATATAAATCCCTTTTTGAAATAAAATTCTTGCTTTCACACTGATCGCTCCAGTCATGAATGAATATATATATATACCCTTCAAAATCAAGTGGGTTTAAGACATTGATCGTTTTTTGGGTTTTAATATCAAAACTGCAAGATGAGACTCATCAGGTCATTGCTGTCTCAAGAAATGGTTCCTACCACCCAAACAAAATTCATGGACACCAGTTAATACCCACCTTACCCAGCCGACCATGCATTAATATAACCCCTATGCAGGAAAAATAAATAAATAACTTGGAAATGAAAAGAAAGATATTTGATCGTGTTGTACAATCAAACAGTGATCTGATTCAATGCTTAGTTACTAATCATTGTCACTTGTTAAATTCGCTACTAAACTCTCTTTCCATACCTCATTACTATAATTGGTATTGATCACTCTTATATCATTATTTTCAATGATTTATTAGTCCCATCAAGAAGTACAAACGTTTATTCGCTCTTTAATTAATGATATATATATATATATAATTCTATGTATCAACGTTTATTTGCTCTTTAATTAATGATGATATATATATATATATAATTGCTTATAGCTTAGTTGCCTTTTTTTCGTTCATTAAAAAAAAAATTGCTTTTTTTTCCCCACAAAATACTTATTTTCTTGAACTTCACCTTTTCGGCTTTTCCATTGTGCTTTGGTATGTTGTACCTCAATTTTCACAGGTCAAAATCTGCTCTTCACTTTTATCATTCAAAGACTGGAAGACTCTTAAATTAATTATAAAATCCTAGAGTGAGCGTTCAATAGATAGTCCTAGAATCAAAGAGCCCTCAATAGCGAATATGGTTAATGTTATATCTAAATTAATTATGTTCAGTTGCTCGAGCTTATGTAGCCAGGTAAATTGCAGTAATGGCATGTGGGGACAAATTTTTTATGTCGAGGGAATGAGATAATAGTCTTTTTACTGGAGGAAGTCGGAGGCTTAGGAGCAGACGTCTTCTTCACAAACACTTTTTTAGACGTTGAGCTCTCACCAATATAGCCAAGGCCATGTCGATCACCACTCGCTTTTCCTATCGAGAGAATGTGATCCAATTTTGTGGTGCCGGAATTCATTATCTTCAATGACTTTTGAGTGTGCTCTAATTCAGCTCTTGTCTCCTGTAACTTTTTCTCATTTTCAACAGCCTGAAATTCATAGTTTACAGTAGCCCTCTTAAGTACATCATTCTCTTTAATAAGCTCATCGACTCGCTCCCGCAAAGACTTATTCTTTTTAACCACCAAAACCCATTTGTTGAACATAGTTTCATATGCCTCCTGGATTGTCTCTTCAGTCAGTTCTTCACCATCGCTGGAACCGCCAGAATCTGAAAAATCTCTGTTTTCTTCTGGTTTTCCAGAGTGTGTTGCAGATGATGTTACAACATGAGCTGTGACACGATTTGTAACACTGCAGTTTGAAACATCTTCAAAGACATTGAACGCAACATAGTTGTTCACATGATCATCATCTTCCTGGTTGCCTTCAGAATCCTCATCACTCCATGTGACGTTGAAAGACTTCTTCCTCTTCTTGAGAGTGTTAGCACACTCAGACTGAATGTGACCTTAACCGTCGCACTCCCAGCATTGAATTCTCCTATTCTTCTTCTTATCATTGGGGGAATTTGCAGCTCCCTTATTTTTCTGAAAATTGTTGGAGTTGTTTTAAGTTAGAGTTTGGTTCTTCCCGTTGAACTTCTTCATCACCCTGTTGAAATTTTTAGTCAATCGAGCAAGAGACTCCTCTAAGTCTTCATCTTCTTCTTCAACATTATCTTTCACTTCGGCTTGGAAAGCAATCCCTTGAGAAATCTCTTTCTCCTTCTTATTTTGACTCAGATTCATTTCAAATGTCTTCAGTGATCCCATCAATTCATCAAGTCTTATAGTCTGAGTGTTTTTCGCCTCTTCAATAGCAATGACTTTGTAGGCAAATCTCTGTGGTAATGATCTCAACGTCTTGCTGACAAGTTTTACCTTGGGAATTTTTTCACCAAGAGCAAAGGATTCATTAGCTATATCACACAACCATGAATTAAATTCAGAAATAGTTTCAGTTCCCTCATGAGCAATCTCCAAAATCTTTCATGCTTCTTTTGTCGATTCACATGTAGATATCATCTTGAACTGGTTGATATCAACTCCATTAAATATTGCATTGAGAGCACGAGAGTTGTAGATGGCCAACTTGTCTTCATGACTATTCCAGGAGCCTTCGGGTTTTAGAATCTCTTTTCCCTCTGCATCTTTAGTTATTGGATGTTTCCAGCCATTTAAAACAGAACGCCATGCCTTCTCATCTCGAGCCTTGATGAAAGCCATCATCCGGGCCTTCTAGTATGAATAATTTGAACCATCAAGTAAGGGGGACGTGCAACTGAACCTCCTTCGTTTAGAAAATCCATTCCCTCATTCCTTTAGAAAATCCATTCCAAACATAGCATATCAACTCTCCAAGATCCCACTGAACTTATGGTCAGTGAACTACTCTGATACCACTTGTAACATCTCGGTCTTTTGTTCCTTTGACCAGGGTCTTATCCTTATCTCTCCAAATCTCAACCAATGTCTTATCTTCCTTTGACCAAGCCTTTATCCTTATCTCTTCAAATCTCAACTCAACAAAATCTGTAACTTTAACTTAAATTCTTATTCTGAATCTTCTTCTACAATACAAAATCTTCTTGAACCTGTTTTTTTTTTTAATTTTTACAAGATTGCCAATAAATTACCAACTAATAAAAATACCTAACAATCTCCCCCTTTAGCATTTTTTGGCAAAAATAACAAGAGATCCTAAAAAATTCAAAACAACAAAAATGATATAAAATTACATTGTTCTCCCCCTTTTTGACAAAAATAAGCCAAAGACACACACAAAAAAAATCACACCCTAGACACGTCTTCAGCAGCTGATGTTGCAGATTATGATGGAACTTTTGTTGGAACATTTGTTGGAACACTTGGTGCAACACTTCGCACTAGTGATCTTTGAGGGTATTGAACTATGTAGCTTACTCCCCCTAAATCTTTTATATGTCTTACTCCCCCTGAATGTAGCATTTTTCCATGTATAATGCTCTTAACACCTGTCAATCGCTTAGTGCAACTACCATCACTACATCCACAATTATTAGTACATGCTTCTAAAGAAGTATAAGCCTTATGACATCTCAAATCAGATTTCCTTACCCACACACGTCTAGAAAATTATTTTTCACAGTAATCTTCACGTTAGGTGTCTTCTTTGAGTTTGCAGAATTTGGTGGATTAATAAACATACCTCTATGTTCCTTTACATTCAAACGTAACATCAGATCATACAGTTAAGTATTATTATACATGCTCAGCTTCAAAGCATGAAGACTACAATGAGGTGATGACTGCTTCATGATGAGGATAGGTTGCAAAACGCAGTGGTGGAGTCAGAATATTTTGTTAGTAGAGATAATCTTATCAAATAGGGGCATATCTAAAAAATTTCAATTACTTAGTGGGGATACAAATTGAATTTTTCTCATAATATATATGGCACAACTGTTTTTTTTTTTTTTAAATTAGGTCTTTAAATTTAAGTTATAGGATGACACTTGCCCTCACCCTAGTGGCTTCCCAACTAGCTAACGAATTGTCCTTATAAGCCGATACGAGTGCGAGCAACTCAAAATAGGTCGCACGATGGCCTAGTAGGAAGGTGTTGGCCACATAGCGACCTAATGGCAAGGTATTGGTGACCAACTCAAAACGAGTTGCTATGGGCCCGTTTAATTTGCTGATTTGAGTTTTTAATTCGAGTTCATATGTGACTTTATGTGAGAGTTTTTTACTGTAATAAAAAAGTTAGATGTGATTGTTTCTGAGAATTTTTTACTGTAGCAAAACTCGAATTCTAAATTCTAATCGGTGAAATGAATGAGACCTATGTGACCGCAGCATATTTGTCGCATAACAACCGTAGCGATGAAAGCAAATATTTTTAAACTTTAGTACTAGAGGAGTCACACGTTAGCCATTATATAATATTCCATGATGTTCAAAGAAACCCGAGCAATCAATACAACAACAATGGCACTAGGCTCCCTAGCACCGTGGAACAACCCACACAATCTCAAGAGTGATTAGAGGATGATGATAAGGATCAAAAGTTGGAGGGTGTGAGATAAATCATGTTGAGCAATTTCAACATCAAAAGCCTTCGATTTATAGGAGTGCAAAACTGAAAGGATTCTCCTGTCAACATTCTACATGGATTTACATAATTCTTTCTTATTTATTATAAACATTGACAAATCTTATGAGAAAGTTAGAATGTGTAATCCCAAAATTCAATAAAAAGTTTAATAATCATAATAGACGGAGGTACATTGACGTGAAGTATTTTTCTCCTTATTTTTATATCATTTTTACGTGTAATTTGTGGTTATTTAATCTCTTTTTTTTTCCTTTTTTTTATTAAATCTGGTTTCATACGTTCAATCTTAAAACTTGGTTCCTTTGATATTGACGAATTTTAGTGTCAACACTCCCGAATTGATAATTAATTTCAGTCATATGACATCTTCTACCACCTTATGGCCAGACGACTTTTCCTATATATATATATATATATATATAAGAATGCCATTTCCCCCAAATGTCGTTTGGTTATGAAGATAATAATTAAAGTCATCTTTTTTAATTCGATAAATGTTATACTTTCGGGAGTGCAAGGAACAAAAAAAAAAAAAACAAACAAACAAACAAACAAAAAAACAAAAAAAAGTTATTGGGTAAAAAATTCTTTTTAAAAAAATGGTTAAAAAGATATGTGCAACATGAGGAATTCCTAAGAGGTCATCTATAAAGTTATATTCTCACCCATGGAGAGATGCACTGCTTCCCCTAATATTACACTACACTTATCCGTGAGTGTATGTATATATGTATGTATGGCATACCACGCGTATTACTTATCATTATAACCTTCCATAAAAAAATAAAAATAAAATTCCCTAAAAAAAAATCCCTAAAAAGATTTAAAAAAGAACATTGTAATGTAACCCTTAACAAATCGGACCGATGGTCTCAAATGTAGTGGCACATATGGCGTGCAAAGTAGTACATGTCTATAATATGTAGTGCGTCCCTTAACAAATCGGACCGATGGTCTCAAATGTAGTGGCACATATGGCGTGCAAAGTAGTACATGTCTATAATATGTAGTGCGTCCCTTAACAAATCGGACCGATGGTCTCAAATGTAGTGGCACATATGGCGTGCAAAGTAGTACATGTCTATAATATGTAGTGCGTCCCTTAACAAATCGGACCGATGGTCTCAAATGTAGTGGCACATATGGCGTGCAAAGTAGTACATGTCTATAATATGTAGTGCGTCCCTTAACAAATCGGACCGATGGTCTCAAATGTAGTGGCACATATGGCGTGCAAAGTAGTACATGTCTATAATATGTAGTGCGTCCCTTAACAAATCGGACCGATGGTCTCAAATGTAGTGGCACATATGGCGTGCAAAGTAGTACATGTCTATAATATGTAGTGCGTCAACGAACTAAACGAGCCCTAAAAACATTCATATAGAGAAACTCAAATTGATCACCCTTTCGGTATCCGTACAGCCGAGAAAAAAAGGAAAATAACAGAGGAAGAAAATATGTCGACAAAATTGGTATATATATATATTAGTAATCTTGACAAATACTTCTTAAAAGTGCATGAGTCAGAATTTTTACTATTTATTCTTAATTCATAATCTTTTTAGTAAAATAATTACACTAATCAAAGGGTATTTATCAAAAATAAGAAGTAAAAGTCTAGACTCATACACTATTAAAGATAAATTTTCCATTTTTTCTATTTTTTTTTTTCTTGAGTAGAATATTCAGTTACGTGGGCTTTCATCTAATTACATGTTTACCTTCTCCAATTTGTAATTAGTTTATATATATATATATATATATATAT